GCTGGTCCACAGCAGTCCCTCTTACCCAGGAGAAGGTGAGTGAAGGCCTTCCCTCTGGCCCTGTGGATTAGCTGGTGAAGAGTTGACTGTCACATGTTATGGGTAGTAGGGGAAATGAGAAGAGTCTGACACTTGGAAAATTTATTAATGTACAGTTCCATAGAGTTAGCAGCAAATAGTAGTCATGAAAAATATTTTTAAAATTCAGTAACTTTTAGTACTGACCTAATATACTCAACTTCTTCATTTCACTTGTGTGTCCTAAGGGGTTCTGTAAATATTTACACACATGACTAACTTTAGGCATCTGAAAAACTTTATGAAAAGCAGTTAAACCAATCCAAAGGGTGCATCTGGGTATGTGTAATACATTTTTGAAGTACTGGGGCTTTTGAAGGAAATGCTGTTCCATTAGAGGTACAGTCAATTTTTTTGTATCCCTTGGGGCATGGCACTATGTGGTAGGGTATGGATTTTTCTTTCTATTTTTCCAGTCAGTGGAAAATATTATGGCAGTTGTAAGTATGCCCCTAAGTGTCCCACAGCTTATTCAGGAAATGTCCTTTATGAAACTTTGCATTGGAGAGCTTGTGCTATACAATGATGTATATCTCAGATTTTTGGGTCTGTTTCCAAACCATCTTCTTTTCCTGAAAGGGGTCAAAAATATCTTTGGTACTAAATCTACATAGATAGATACTGCTGTTTGTGTAAGTTTAAAAAGAATAATTAAAAAAAGGAAATATAAGAGTAGGGAATAAACATTCACTGTAAGAGGGGTGAATCCCTTTCCATTCTTCTCAGCCTACTATTTACCCCCAGTCTCAGCTGAATGCTAACCTTGATTGGCAATTTCATTGCCAGAAGTGTTTATAGGCAATATGTGAACCAAACACCACGAGTCCAACTTTGTAGTCTAGTAAGAGATTCTGACATCTCTATACATGGTGAGGTGAGTGTTTTCCTCCACTAACGTGACTCCTGCAGCATTTGCTTTGCTTTTGAGCCAGGTACAAAGAATTCCTATGCTGTGTCTCCAGCAGAGCTGCTGCCAGAACTGCTGTAACTAAAATAAGTGTTTTCCTACAGAAGAGAAAAAAAAAATCTTCTTATTACTGTTTGTAGTTTGTATCAGACTGTTGAGGTTGGATTTGCTGTGGAGAGACTTTTCTGGCTTTATTAAGCTTACACTGATGTTCTACTCAGTCTGTTGTCCATAGAAGGGAAGTAAAGAGGACAGCTTATGAATTTTGACAACTGTGAAGTTTGCATAAGATTGAAAATGAGTATTTAGGTTATAAATTCGAGGGCATAAGGGAGGCACAGTAATCCTAGTGTACAGGATTGTGGCCCATGTCTAGGGTTGCTTAGAATGGCACTATTAATAATTTATTTATTTGTTTTAAAACTGCTTTTACATAAACCTATTTATAACACAAGAGTCCTCACATTCCTGTGACACTAACAACTGCAAGGCTACAAACACAAGTGTTTGAACTGGGATACCTGTTGCTCAGCCACTGAAATACCATTGTCTGATACAAACACTGCTTTGCAGATGAGGGTCCCACCCAATAAGGCCCTGTGGAAATAGTGGTTTCAGCAGCAGAGACAGACAGCTGCCCTGTCAGAGTTACTGAGGGATCATAGAATAGGAGCCACGTTGCAGCACTTCTTGGAACGGCCTAAGGACAAAATGGCACCAGCCACACTCAGGAAAACAGGCACACGTGGGAATGGGCACTTACCCATGTTATGCCCTGGAGCTGTAGCAACACCCAAAAATCATTGGAGGTGTCTTTGGTTATTTCTGAATGTCCAGCTTGCTGTTGGTTTTGCATATAAAGTGAAGAAAAATACTCTTTGCTATTCTGTCTTACCTGGGAATGTGTAAAATGTCAATACGCAGTGTCATGGGCTATTATGATACTTTTTAGTTCAGTGGTAGATGTAAAAAGTTCCCAAAAGTAGGGGAAGTGAGGCTGTAAGCTGCAAAACAAAAATAGGGACTAAGATCCCTGGTTGTATGTGGAAGTTGGAAAGATTGGCAACCTGTGGCTGCTGCCTTATGCAGTCCTTCAGTCCTGACTTGGAGCAGCCTTTTATTACGCTGGCTCTTGGCACCTTCTTTGCAGGTCCAGCAGTAGTGACCAGTAGCTCAGCAGTTTTGCAGAACTGCTTGAATGATCAGACCACACATCTTCACTTGTGACACAAGCCTGAGTTTGTGCCCCCGTGGAGGGGCAGAGCGTGTCTGTCAGCTCCCAGCGCCGCTGCTGCCTTTGCCAGCAGCCTGCCCTGGGAACAGCTGCTGAGCTACAAAAGGCCAAAGGGAAGCGCCTCAGTTTTGCCCTAGTCCTGTCACACCTCCAAGTCACTGGAACACGTCCAAGTGCATGGTAAACTACAGGCAGAACTCCACTGCAGAACAGGCTGTACAGCTGACTTTAACTGAAACGTGAATCATCTCAGTCCTAAATTATTTTAATCCAATCAGTCATCTGTGTTAAAGGGTGTAAAGAGACAGCAAAGCGAAGAGAGTGGCTGCCAAGTAGAGGATACAGGACACAAATAAAACTGCTAAGATGAGATGAAATATGAACTAATAATGATTTATTCCAAATGCCACGGGGGCTACATGTGAACCACTTGTAGAGACGTTCAGGTGAGATTAATTTTTTAGGCTTTCCCTGGAATGATTTTTATAGTCTCAGCAGAGTGAAGGGAAGGCAAAACTGTTAGTTACACAGGGAGTACACACAAGGGTTTTGAAGTGCTCACAAACAAATTCTCCCTAATTAATATATGCTTTACAAGTCTCTTGTAAGTAGATGAGGACGAACAGCTGTAGTTCTTTTTATAGATACAAACTAATCTCTAATACATGTTGGAGTTGAAGGATATAGAGAGCAACATGCTGTGGATTCGTAAAGCTTTTCTAGCCATGGAAGTATTCTTTTTATGCCCTCTAAAAGTGGAAGGGAATGCAGAAGTGTGCAGAGTGTAGTCTTCAAGAATACTGCTTGGAACAAAATCATGACAGGAGCAAAGGATCAGCTATTAATGACACATACCATGCACTCCTTGTTAACACATGAAACAGCATGGGTGAGCTTTGACCTATTTTCTTGACAGGTTCAGTCTTTTATGACCCATATAAAATAGGCAACATTTACAAATGTTTCTTCCCATTTTTCACCAGTGTCAATGGCCTTCATGACAAAGGAAGAATTATATGCTTCATGTTTTTAAATAATTTTAAAAGCCCAAGCAATAAGTCATAATAGAATTCCTTAGACTTGATGAATATCTTTGAACATACTTCCTGTTTGAAGATGTTTTCTCCCTTCTTTCTCCTTACTGCTGGCTGTATATGTTATCAGTTTAATATTGTCCTCTGCAGGGAGACAATATCCGGTTGTGGTGGGTGAAGGGAGAAACTGTAATAGCTCCTTTCCATCTTCTAATGCCTATGATTTTGCTTACATAAAAACATTGTGGATTTTGAACAGTGTGTTTCTTTTGGTAGTTTATTACCAGCCTGGATTTTGAACAGTGTGTTTCTTTTGGTAGTTTATTACTAGCCTGAACAGCCCACTTTTTCATGATCTAACATTCACCTGCTGCAGAAGCCATCATCACCTTCATTTTCAGTTTTAATAACCTTTCTTTTAATAAACCTTGGTTTGAAGTAGGTTTCCAAAAGTGTGCTTCAAAACAATGCCCCAGGTCTTCTGGAACCCACTGATTTACTCCCCCCACCCCCCACAAAGTAATAAGCTGGTTACATTTTTATTGATTTTATAGCTTTTTCTGATCTGACATTGATTTACTCAGGACAAAATGCCTTGCTGGGTTCCCTCCATTATTGCAACCAACAGGAGAACTGCTGGAGGGCCTGTGGGGAAGAACAGTTTTAATAGCTCTGTGCCCTGTTCTTTTGGGCTCTGAAGGTCTCCATCCCCACTTTGGACTGTCTGTTCCTCACAATTCTTGTGATGTAGACTGCTATGATTTGCAAATGAATTTTGTCCGTTTATTCTTATACACTAGAAGAAACACCACGGGAAAGCTGAAAATCATTATTTGATAAAATTCTTTTCCCTTTCCAGGGGAAATAAACACAGTTTCATGGATTCAGCCTCACTTATACGAATGCTGCTGTTTAGAGAAGGGAAAAATGGAAATGCCAAAATGGGGATGGTGTGGAATCCACACATCTCTACAACAACTGGTTTTGGGGAACTAACCCTTTTACTCCCAAGATTTACTTTAAAAACACATCTAAATGTAAACCACTTTGAAGTATGAGAAGGCAGATATCAGAGGCTCTGGGGAGATTAGCTAAGACTGGGTTAAACTGGTCTCTTAAGCCACTGTTGGAAAAAGAAGCTGAGGATGGAAAGGACCACTGCCTCGTCCTCAAGGGTTGTCCTTTTTCCCCAGAGTCTCAGAAATTAAAATAAATATCTGAGACTTTAAAATACCACTCAAGTGCATTGCGTGTGATTAAGTTTTCTTTTGGTTGAGAAACTTCACAATAATGAAGAAACCACCTTCAGGAGGTAATGTACAGTTTCCCCCCAAATCTCTGAGCTTTACCTCTGCAATAGCTTTGAAGTTAAATTACACTAAGTGAACAAAGGCCTGTTTTGAATATCACATTTCCCTTTCCTCTCAAGTTAATCCTGGGAGGCTTGTAGGTGAGGTATGTGGAATATACATGAGCAGAGTAAAATCCAAATGAAAGAAATTGTTTCATGAGCTTCATAAAGAGGAAATAATAAAATACAGTGTGACTCAGATCAAGACGTGAACCACTGGAGAGAGTTCTGATGCTGAAAAGATCAGTCCTCCTGCTTTAATCCTTGCTTGTCTTGTGTTGTGTCTTTGGAGGGGCATTTCAGAACAATGCAGGAAGGTATTCTGGATTCAGTCAGTCCGTAGCTGCTCCAGAGCTGTTGGCTAGGATGATACTCTGGCTTGCACCACTCACTTATTTAGCTGTTGGGCTTCTTGTTCTGCTTGTGACTGTTGGTCTTAGGGTACAGGAAACCAGAGTTGTATCTGGAAGGCAGCTCTACCCCTTGGACATTGCTGCATGTTATTGTAATGCTGGGTATCTGAGCTGCCAATGATCCATAGCAAGACACTCCTTTCCTTTGTCCAATACTGTTCAGGCTCTCACCTTCCTAAAGGATGCAGAAATTTGGAAGAAATGGAAAGCACAAACATGTACAAGATCACATTGCATCATCTATGAAAAAGATAATCACTTTTAGATAAGCAGTTTTCTCATTCCCATGACTACCTCAAAACCAACTTAAATGATGGAGGAAAAAGCAGATCTGAACATTTTTTTCAAATATTTCATTAATAACTTATGAGAGAAAACCTGTCAAACAAGTTAATGTATTAAAGCACAGACTTTGCGTTTGCTACTTAAGAGCTGGTCTAGTTTGAAGGAAGACCAGGCTAATGACAGCACATTCAACTATGAACAAAAGTGCTATGAATATGCTTAGTGAACCTGTTTAGGTTCACTGGGCAAGAGGTAATGTAAAATGTGATGATAAGACCATGGATAGTTTGAAGGGGGAAGCAAACTGTATAATGAGGGGAAAACGGGAACGGAGGAAAAGATTAATTAGCATTTTTTGACATAAGCAATGTTGGCTGTCACTTGCAATCAGATAGGATGAGGCTAACAATAGCTCTTCAGGATCACTGCTAACAATGAAGAGATAATTTAAGATAGTTGTATTGCATTGGGGTTAATACTGCAGAGATAAAACTGCCTTGTTTTCACCTGTCTTATTTCCCTACCTATCAAAAATTAAGGCAAATTGAATAACTTCTGATAGATGTCAATTTTTTTACATGTGTGTAGCTGTTTTAGACAGAAGAAGAAACAGACACTAGAACAACATGTTACTGAATAGATGACATTGCATGTTTCAAAAACTGACCTTGATTTCCTCCAGGCTGCATATTTTAGATGTTTTCTGCAACCCAAAAGAGAGAACATCAAACAGTTAACAACATCACTTCGTACAGCTGTACTTGCTGCAAGACTATGGCTGTCTCAGAGGTACAGATATCACAATGACTATCTCAGCTTAGTGTGTATATTATTCATAGGAGGGTGGCACAAAGTTAATGCTTCCATGCTCCACTAAGGAAATCACAGACTTATTAATTCAAGAAAATATTCAGGTTCCTTCAAGAAACTGGACTTAAGGAGAATCCTGTAGTATGTGTGTTCTCCTTCTGCTTAGTTTCAACAATGATCTACCCTTTGTGGTCATGTTTTCTGCATTCTTCTGGGAGTGTCGTGTGATATTTGCATCTCAAAAAATAAATTATTTTGTGCTCAGAGACTGTCATTAGTTTTTGTTCCCTCAGTTACTTAGACACATGCCAAACATGAAAATAATGGTTCTTACAGTAGGTGTAGCCACGTACTCTCTGACATTCAATTCCACCATCAATATGTCATCAGCATCTACCGACGTCTGAAAAATGAACACAGATAAGAAAGACATAAATGGCATGTAGGTATGTCTCAATCTTTTACACATGCAGAATGCAAAGTATAGGGAAAAATGAGGATAGCAGAGACTGAAAAGTAGTGGTAAGCTAAAATAGCCCTTTTTTTACATCTTACTGTAAGCGCTCATTTGATAGCAAATGGTGAGACAGCAAGAAGATTGGCCAAGTAATTTGGACAGTGAGAGACATATCTTACTAAATGCACACTTAAAACCAAACACAAGCCAACATACCACTCAGATGCTAAGTTTTCTAAAGCAGCACCAGAAATACAGCAGACTGATGAATAATGAACCAGGGTGGGAATAGAAAGCTGATGACCTTTTACAGCCCCTAAATCATTACTCATTGTGCTAACTCACAGTGTATCAGCATCTTGTTGGCAGGAACCTTCATGATGAATTATGGTACAATGTGCAGATTTGTTAACTTGCCAGTTGTCAGAGAATTTAGGTATTATGAATGCAGTGTATTACCTTCTCACAGATCCCAGAATCCTGGCTCTTCACTTTTGGCTTGGCTCTTATGTCACTGGATGGAATTGTGTCTTTATCTGTTTCATAGGAAGTCTGCCTGCTGGCAAGTCTGGAGAACTTGCTGGGGGTATCAGTTTCTATTTCAGTACAGACCTAAAATTAATACAGCAAAAACAATCACTCTAGGTTCCTTTGACTTTCATCCAATTTGCCCCATGCTTATAAGAAATACAAAAAAACCCTATCAATTCTGTAATTCTGTTGTGTTTCAAATTTGGCTTTTTTTTTTTTTTTTTTTTTTTTAAATTTCTCCCCAGGATGCACTGCAAAATTTCAAAGAAAATTGTGTTTTCTTACAATCTATTGTTGAAACTTCTCTGATGCATCTTGTAGCTCCAGGGAGACAGTGTTTCCACAGTAGCACCCAATTAGGAAGCACAGGTGTTTGGAGGAATTAGGGCCAAAGTTTCCAAAGTGGCTTGGGTGGAAGCAGAAATAAATAGAAGGAAGTGTCTCAGGACTGCAGAATCAGTTCTTTAGAAACATTTTGTTTCATGAAGGAGCCCTGTCTTTTATAAACTTTGTTCCAATCAATGGGAAAACAAAAAGTAAAAGGACAAAACCCCCATCCCGCCAGTAAAAAGTCAACACTTCTGTTCCTTTCCCCCACTTTGTCAGCCTTTTCACTGCAATGATCAAGAATCACAGAATTCCACAGGTCAGAACAAAACAATGAAACAGTTAATAGGATTGATCAGCAGCTCATGACATACCAGTCTATTTTCTGTTGGACTTTGCCTTAAAATGGGGGACCATAACAGTGTGATATACTTTCCTCATTGTTCCAAACAAGATTCAGACTTACTTGAGGCTATAGAAAATTCCAGAGTGAAGGATGCCAATTGCTTGGAATTTTTACTTTGGGGAATTTTTATTCTCCATTCCGTTGTTCTACTCCGAGTATTAAGTGTTGCTTTTCTAAGCAAAATGAATTGTTTGTGTGGTTCCCCTTCCCCACAGTAGTACAAGAACACAGTCTTACCGAAGGAGTCTGTTGTTTTTTTAAGAATCAGGATTCACAATCTAAAAATGCCACTTTTCTATTAGCCAGTTTTAAAACTGGATTAGATACAATCATTAACTGTGAAAAAGAATTACAATGAACTATTGAATGTGGTTTATTACTTAGTAAAGTAACTTTGGGTTGGAGGAGAGAGCCTGGGATGCCAAATATTTGCCCTGTTCTCAGCTGCTGTGCAGAACATTTGGTTCCACTTCCACTGGCAGCAGCAAGCTGTTGAGGTCTTCTGTGAGAAAGATTCTGTAATGGTTTTACTGATTTGTCTAAATGTGATGATTAATATGTTTCCACATACATCACACTTTCAGAAAGCATTATCTGTTCCACTACAACCTTGCTTTCACTAGAGAACTACCCAACGATGAGCAGTTTGTTTTGTGTGTGTCCAGACTGCAAACCTGTGGTCAGACAAGTGCAGCCTGGAAGTGTGGTCAGGCTTCCAAAGGTGCTCTGGCTCCAAGCTTCCCTTACTTTCTAAAATTCCTGTTGTTCCATCTTTCTGCTCTTCCTTCAATGTCCCCAGCCACTAAGAAAAGAGTGATCTACATTCTTTTACACTTCATCCTTCTCTCTTTTATTTCACTTTGTCCCTCCACCTTCTCTGGAGCTCTTGTCATGAGCGCTGTGATGCATTTCATCTGGAGAATCTGCCACTTTGGCATGACTCTGTATGAAAATGAATTACTTTGCAATTGAAAATGGGTGCATGAGAAGAGTCTCCCTTACTGATTCACTGTCAGAGAGAGAAGACAGTCTCCTTGTTCCTTTCTGCAGCCCACTTGTCTCAGAAGACTGGCTGGTTACGGTGGCTCGTCTGGAGGAGTAATAACTGCTGGAAGACCGTGAGTCTCTGGGAGAAACTCTCAGTAGGGATCCAAGGCAAGGAACATGTGTTGCAATGGCTCTTCTGATGGATAAGAGGTAGAACCAGTCAGATTTTTTTTCTGTCAGCACAAACATTCAGTAAAAATCATAAACAATGCATTTATTCAGAGACATGAACTAATGCTGCATGGACTGGAAAATTAGTGGGTATAAAAAGAGTTTTCCAGGTATCAGATATCTCATCTACAATCACCCTGCAAGATCACTTATTCATGGTGTTCTGCAGAACTCAAATTTATTGCTTGGCAAGGATAAGGGCATTAAAATATAACTCTTGGAACTGAAGGAAGCTATTAAAATAATGTTTTATCTGCTTTCAGCTTAATCAGGGCAGAAATAAAATTCTGTCCCTTTAAACTGAACCTCACAGAAGTCCCACATAATTAAATATTTTAATCTTCCCCTAAGCAGCTATTCCAGCTTCCTCTTACACATCTGTTTGCTGGCTATCTCTAGAGTTGTACAAAATGTGCACTTACTTATATTACAGTATTACTTTGCTCATATGCAATGTAAGGAAACTCTTGCCCAGCTTTCCTCTCCCATGAAGATAGTTAAAAAAATTATGACGCTTTCCTTTGAGGTGGAAAGGTTTCCATCTTTCATCATGTAATAGGTAAATACATATCAGTATTCCATAAACATCTCCAACTCCCACCTGCATAGTAATTTGTTCCAAGTACAAATTCCACTGACATATACATGGCATTGGGAGGTTCTCTGGTGGAGGGCAAGGCTGTCCTACAGAGTTAAAATGAGCAAGTGAGGGAGACTTCAGGTGCTAGTCCTAAAAGTGACAATGTTACTCTCAGATTTTCTTTGTGTATTAAACATAGGTTATAAGACCAAACTTACCTGTATTTGGGGTGAGTGATGGCATAAACGATGGGGTTATGGATGACAGAAGCTTTGGCAATCACAGCTGGTATGGAGTTCATGTAGGGTGTTAGGGCATGGGAATACCTAGAGTAATGCAAATACATCATACATTTAGTGCTGAGTTCTGGATGGTCTATGCAAATACACACTGGCAAGACAATGCTTTATTAGCATTACAGAGAGAGTAAAAGGGGACTTCTGTCCCCAAACAACAAGAGAACAAATTTTACATCCTTTGCCTGTAAAGATCAACATCAATCATATCGCATTTCTGAGAAATATGATTTTCTTGGGGCTTCCCTTGCAGCACTTCACTGCTGTGACTCAGGGTGGTGGTAATTCCCATTTTGTTTAGCCTAGGGACAATGTCAGCCTTCAAGAAGTGAATGTGCATTCACCAGGGGATCTAACTGTTCTAAACTCAGCAGATACACCTGCTGAGCAATATGTCACTAAAGAGGTGTGCAGAATGAGGCATTACAGGTAAAGATAACTGACGAATCTACTTCTATTCAATTTATAATTTTTTTTTTGCCTGATAATGACCTGAAAAGTGAAGGGGAAGTATTTTTCTGAACTAAACAGTGAAGGGAAAGTATTTTCATGTGTCTTATGTTACACTCATCTGTTACTGTGACCATGCATATACGCAGGTGATGTGACTCTGAAGGATAAAAGAATTATTGTCTATCAATCATCTGCCAGTTAATTTCTCAATATAGCTTGAAGTAGTCCATAAGTCTTGGTTAGAAGAAAGTCAATAGAACAGCTCAGACCAAAATAAGAGTAACATTTCATAGGCAGTTTCTACCAGGTAAATCCTCCATAGACCTTAAATGCTATGAAGGCCTCTTCCTGCATTGGTAGAGTGAACTCTAAGTGAAGAATATGTTGTTACTCTGTCAGGTGAGTTGTCTTTAGTCCAAGTCTACAGACACAGACTCCTTGTCTGCCTCCCAGATGTAGCATACAGTGATTTTTATCCAAGTCTGCTGTAATAAAAGTTCACAGGAGGCGTCAGTCTATCAATCTCTGAAAAATCCCAGAAGGATTGACTAAAAGGCATAGTTCATTCATTCAGCTGAATGAAGCAGTATTGCTCCCCAGATGTCTTCATGAGCAAAATTTGCAAATGCTCTTCAGTATGTCAATAGGGTTATAAAGAAGAGTTATAAAATTGTCCATTTGTTCAGATTTTTGTGAGTGTGAGACATGGAGTAGAAGTCAGGTTCAGCAAGCCCTTCATCCTCCTAAGGCAGATTTGATTCTCCTAAGGTAGATGCTGAATCACACAGGGCAGCCTGACAGTTCTATGTAGCTAAAATGGTTAGCTGAAAGCATCTCCTGATTTGGTTTTCTTTAGATCTCTCAGAGTACTGCAAGGTAGCTGTGCTGCGTTTCTGTCTCCTTGCTCTTCCTCAGTGTCTGACTCTTCACATATCACCAGTGGTAGATACCCAGTACCTAAGTCCCCCTTTGACAGGAAATGGGACACTAGGACACATCCTAAGGATTTGCATTTTCAGGTGAGGACTTTTGTTTTCCTTCATGGAGAAAATGTTTGCTGCTGCTTGGAATTACCCTTCTGGATATAAAGGGAGAATTCTCTCAGTATTTTTTCATCTGAAGCCTGTGATTTTAAGAAGATTTTAGTAGCTGCTAGGTTTAGGAAACTGCCTTCCTAAGCTATTTTAGTCAATTTTAGGAAAACCTACTTTTTATTTCTGACTTGAAAAAATACAAAGAGAAGTTTTTGGTACTGTCATAGGAATCTTCCACTTGAGGTTTTGCAGGTGACAAGCCTTCCTAAAGCAGAGAGTCCCACATTTTACAGAGGCTGAACTGAAGCACAGGAAAATTCACATGTTAATGTGGGAGAAATAACCACACAAAGCCAAGGCATCTGGACTCCCAATCCATTACTTGTGCCTGGATTGTACCAACTATAATCTGGGGTCAAGCTATGTGCAGATACTGTTTTAATACTATCATGCTTCTGTTGATATTGCTGTACAAAATGCTGACAATCAAACAGATGAAGAACGTGCTTTGATGATTTATATTTAGGATCTTTTGTATCCAGCATCAAAAATTCCCAATGCAAGTATGTACTAATTTTGAACTTGCTCATACATGGAAGGAATTTCAGCAGTTTCATGTAACATGACAAAATGAACAGACTTTTGTAAGTACAATAAGTGGAGAAAGAAAAGAGAATAACCCCCTGGGTGGATCTTTTTGGGGCCCTTTATTTAGCACTTTGTTGCTAAATAAAGTTGAGATAGTTCAAATATCCTAGCATAGAGAATCTGCATTCAGAAGTCTTCAGCATGTTTTAGTCACAGGTAGCTGATGTTGCCAATAATAACATTAATAACATTCCTGTTTCCTTTCTCTCTTTCGCTTTTTTATTTTTACTTTTCTTAAAGTCAAACTAAGAAAAAAATCACAGTCAGCATGTGTCCTGTTTGTTAAATATCACTTCTAAATGCGTGAATCTTTTGGACACACTTCAGACATTAAACTTGACAAGTAGCTTTGACTTTCCTCTGTCTTTTACAATTTCATAGCTTTTGCTTTCACTGAATATTCCTTTGCTGATACATTTATAATTACCCAGAAAAAGCTACCAGAGCAACAACAGAGTATGGTGACCAGGAAATGACAAAAAGCAAGATGACAATCAGTGCAATTTTGGCCATCTTCCACTCATTTTTCATCCTCCGATACTGTTTCTGGAACTCTTTACTTCCATGTTTGCTTCCAAATGTCTGAACAGACCTAGAGGAAATAAACACAACAGCAAAAAACAAAAGTAGGTAATTGAGCAAATAGCTTCATGAAGTGGCAGCAATTACTCTTCTGCTACTTTAGGCTAAAACTCCTGCACTTTTACTGCATGCTTATGTACGTGACCAGTCCTTCACAACCCAATGCACTTCTGTTGCACTTATCAGTGGCAAAATTCACATGTGCTTCCGTGAAGAAAACAGTCCTGTACCAGTAGAATTTCCACATAAAACAAGTATTCAATCCAGTTGAATAATACTATGTTGAAGACAGTAAGAGAAGTCTTTGCTTGCCAGGGTCTGGCTGTCACTTCGTACTTGTGAGCTAAGTGACCAGACACGCTGGTACAGACAGGACAGATTCCTGCAGGTTACACACCTAGTGCCAGGCTGGCCTTGGTTTTTACTGCTATAGTTTTTTTGTTTCAGAGACCAGTGATTAAATGTTTTATCTCCTTGTCACCCTTTGTCTAAACACGGAATTTGTAGTTCAATTCCATCTATTTTTCTCTGGAATAGTTAGAATACATTGTTGTTAGGTATCTTGGGTGTCCCTTTTGTATTTCTTAGGGTTGGTTAATTTCTGTACCCTTTTCCATGTCAATACACTTGAACAGCTCTGGCTTAAATTCAGAAATGGCACTTCTAAGGATCATACTTCTTACCATGTTGTCTACTGACAGAACTCTTGTCTGGTTGCCTGTCTCAGTTGTGCATACAAAATAAAAGTGAAGAACTTCCCAATTTTCTTCTATTCTTTCTTTCATTCTTTGTTTTAAGGAAGATAGAAATTTGAGACTCTTGGCTACTTACTTGTTGGCCTTTCTGATAGCCTCAAATATAAAGACATAGCTGTATATGATGGCAATCAAAGGAATGACAAAGACAAAGCAGAAAAGCAACATCGTGTAGGCACGGACTGATGGTGTGAAAGTCATGTAGTCCCAGGAGCAGGAAGTCAGCAGCCCCTCAGGAACATATGCACCTAACAAGAAAGGCATGAGAAGGCATAAATCATGAAGTCATTCTGAATGCTGAAATTAGAGAAAGATACTCAGAATAACATGGGATTTAGTCCTATTCTCTGAAAGGCAAAAAGAGTTTAAAAGGATGAACAATTCTTGATGTAAAGCACCTCTCTATTTTCTTTTACTCTGTTGTCCTATTGTATTCGTGTTTAGCAGTCTAAGGCATCCAAAAGCTGAATGATTTTGCTTCAGTTCTTGAATATTTTTTCAAGCTTATCACAGTCAAAGGGCATCTCTCCAAATACTTACTGGGTCTTGCACCAGACCTGTATTTGTTTTTAAGTATCTCCATGTCCTGTCTTCCCAAGGAGTTAAACTAATTGCTACAGCTACCACTTTTTTAAGATCATGCAGGCAAGAGAAATTTACTGGGCAAAGGAGAAAGATTTAATGTGTGGATCAAATTAATTTTGTCATGGAGTAAAGCTGAGTACAAGAAAAAAAAAAATCATACATACCTAACGTTTTGCATGAAAAAAATGCAATCTATTTAAAAGAACTCTGCCAAATGTTCAGCAAATAAATTGATAATAGCAATGTCTTTTTACCTTTGAATTTTAATTTTCACGGTTTACACTGATATTTTCTGTTCAACTCTTAAAAATATTGCACCAGATGTTCTCAAATGCATCTAATTACAGTGTGAGAGTTCATACTGTGGGCGCTATTAGAATCTAATTAAAAGATAACAACACCCTTCAAGCAATTATTCCACCTTCTCCAATTAAGAATCTAGAATCTACGACTATATTGTCATTTTGTTGTTCTAACAGCTCCTCACTCAACCAAAGGCTGCTTCTGCCAGTATTGCAGTTTGCCTGCTTAAACATGCTTCATGTTTATGGGGGACCAGGATGACAATAATATGACAATAACAAAATTCTGCTGAAATTCTGCTCAGTAACTGAGATGGCTGCAACATCCTTTAGTAAAGTCAAACATGTCTCTGTTCTCACCTCAGCTGAGCAGACACATTCTCTTGTGGAATTAGAGCGTAATAATGGGCTGGGGTTTTGAATGATGAGTTCATTGTAACTTACTGACTGAAACTGGTGACTCACAGGAAATAAATTAATGGTAGTGAGGCAGATTCAAATCTCTGTTACACATTGCAAGGATCAAGGTGCTGTATGAGTGTTCCAATTGGCAGGTGTAAAATCCACATTTACAGAAGCATTTTAGTTATTACTAAATGCCATCCTTATTGGAAGCCTTAGTGACAACACCAGTCATGAATGGAGAACATGGACAACACCTAGTGCATTTTGTCCATCTGGAACACAGTCAAGACTTACTAAAGATGTACTTGCACAAAATGCTCAGCCTGTGTTCCTCTTTATTGTGAATAAAGAAAATTAGATTGACTACTGTCTTACACAGCACTTTTGAGGATAAAAAAAAGTCTTGAGAAATAACACAAACACATTGATTTCACTTTTATATTGTTGAATTTGGTTCAATAGAAGTAGGCATGGGATAATAGGCAGGCACCTTCTTCATAAATTTTGGTCATGAATTTATCTACTGTTCTTTATGTGCTTAAGAGAAAGTGCCATTTTCATATAATATTCTGTAATACACACTGGATTTTTTTTTTTTTATTAGAGATCTTCAGTTTCAACATATATTTCATCAGGTTCTTTTTCAAGTTGATTTATTCAAGACTAATATGCAAGCCATTAATTCAACCCTCTCCTGTACCTGTAACTGGTCTTTAATCCAATGCTATGAGGGCAAAAAAGTTTTATTCCATGTCACTTACTCCATCCAAAGAAGGGTGGGAGACTCCAAGCCAAAGAGTACAGCCAGACTCCTACCAGGATTATTAGGGCCTTCTTCTTAGATGTCACTCCAACAGAAGCCAGAGGTTTTGTGATGACAAAATATCTGTCCAAGGCAATCACCATCAAAGTGATCATAGATGTAATGCCAAAGAGAGCTCCACAGAAGGCATACAGCTCACAGCCTTTCAATGAAGATGACAGAAGTAGCAGTGAAATTAATCTGCCCATGCTAATTAATTTCTGGGAGAGTTCAAGTCTGTGTTTCTTATGAACTAATGTCTTCTGGAATTTGTAAAGCAATGAAACTTCAGTTTTACTGCAGTTATAATGCTATTTCAAAGCTGCTGTCTGTCTTGCTAATTACATTATCCATGGAGATAAACTTCAAAGATTTTATTTGCTTCAATTGCTGGAGACAGTGATACTTAACATATTTTCACTCATTGATTTCTGATGTTTCTAGTGGGATCATTTCAGCTGTCAATGTCTTGCCTAAGTCCAACTTTACTGCAACTCCCATTGAAACAGCTGTTTTGCTTAACAATGGGTTTTAGTTATTTTGGTTTCATGGAACAATTCATATCTCAAGGTCAACATAACTGAAGTAAATATGCAGACTATGAATATATTAATGAGCGATTTTTCTGAAGTAAATATTCAGACTATGAATATATTAATGAGTGAATTTAATTGCTCAAACAACATAATGATTAAAGGCAGTGGTTTGGATTGGGTTTTTATTTTAACATGTATGCAAATGAACACTTAATGGAACTAAAAACACACATTTTTGGTCATCAGAGGTCAAAATAGCAACTTTACTCCCCTGACTTCTGGGAAGTAATACTCTCTGTCAATACCTGCTCAAGAGGCAAAGACGAGTCTTCCTCTTACAACAGTTACATAGGAAGAATGAAAGCACCTTCATTCCACATTTTATTACCACACAGGAAGTGTTCAGATAATATTTACTGTTGTGAAAACTCATGTTTTCCAGCCTTTCTTGCCTCCCTTCGCCAAGTGCAAGGCCCAGAGCAGGTTATTTAGAAGATCTTTTAAGCTGGTGTGCTGAGGGGCGTTGCTTCTTTGTCATAGGACAAAGTGACTGGGTCCTGAGATGACTGGGGAGGAATGCTGGCAGGGAGACCAGTGCTGTGCCTCACATTGCCAGTGCTGCCTCTGTATCTGTCTCATGTGTAATTCTGCTCTCCTGGTGGGGAATGTATTTATTGCACACAGACAGAAAAGTTCAAAGAAATATTTATGTCAACACTGAAATGATGTTGATAAGTGTTCTCAACACTGCAAGAGTACCTGAGGATAAGGAAATAGATTAACTGCTACTATGGTAAGAACATAAATAGTTATATCTTAGAAAGAATATATACAAACCTTTCTCACCAAAAATCCAGCGTTTGTGGAGGCTGTTGATGAAAAAAACTGGAGACTGTGTAATGGACATCAGGAGGTCACTTATAGCCAGATTGATGATGAGCATGTTGGATGGAGTCCGAAGGCTCCTAGTCCTAAAAAGAGCAGAAAAGATGTTGCTAAACACTCCTGCACTATTAATTGTGCTGTTACTCTTCCCTGTGAGCCTTGGCAGCTTCACAAATATCAATGCTACACAATAAGCTAGAGCTTCTCATTTCCCTCATGTGCGAACACAAGCAAGGCTCAGTTTTACACCCTTATACTCCTGTGCACTTTGAAGGATTGTTCTGATAACCAGCTCAGTGATGGGGATAAATCATATTGTTCTTTAAATGTTCTAACTCAGTGCATGGCATGTCCATGATTAACAGGAAATTAGTCGATGTACAGTATGGATTTCTGGATCTGGGTTGTGTTAAGCAGGAGAAGGGAGTGCATTTTCCACTGCTGATAAGATCAACAGTGACTTCTAAATACAGGGGTTAAGCAAACTCACTATGTACCACATGAAGCATTTTGTTTTACATTAGTTCTTCTCTATGACACTCATCTCACTGGCCTGGACACTGACTTTAAAGAGAGCAATAACCAGCCTTCAGTGCATCCTGCCTGTGTGTATTATTCTTAGTATTATAGTGCAGTGTAACTTTTTAGCTCATTTCTCAGTTTTCAGTCTAAGACACAATTAAAAATGACCTGAATAAATTATGGTTCTTTGCACTAGTCCAGAATCAATCACTAGAACTACTGTCCCCTTTCTGTCACTTTAGGAGGAAGGAGATATTATTGGTAGGTGCTTATGGGCTGTGAGTATTTGTTCCATAGTCTGCAAAATTACTGAAAATATTTCTGTTTCAGGCAGTAATAGAAACAGTAATGGCTGGTTTACTGTTTGTCATTACTTGAGACTGCTTTGTAAGCACCTGAAGTGTTCTCTGAATTTCTGATGTACTTGTTACTTGGCTATCAGCATCCCTTTCTGTTTTCATAACACCTTCAAGTGAAGACAAGCTGTGTCCTCCAGTGGAACTGCAACTGCTGTGACTGGATTTCCCATATGGGACCAGCAAAGAGCTAAGCCAGCACATGTACTTCATCCTCACATATCCGACCTGCATTCCAACCCTTTCCTGTTCTTAAGGCCATTGTCATTCACACTTAAGTGTCGGTATCTACTTGGAATGCACATGCAGAAACCTAACATTTAATGCACCCCATAAATATAGGCTTGAGACCCAGATTACTTTCCTCCAGTGATCCAAGTTAACCCAGCCAAATTATCATGTAACTGCTGTTATTTTGGTTTACTACATTAGTGCCTAACAACCAATCACACAGTAGAAGCTCACTGGCCTGGACATCATGCCAATGCTCTGCCTCAGTGTGACAAAGCAGACACGGGTAGACATGGTAGACACATCATGTTGTCAGAGAACAAATTTCCCTCAGACATAAGAGTTGCAATGTGGCTTTAGTTGAAAGGAAACAAGCCAAGTGTTAGAAAATGTGAAAAAATGGGGCGTGGCCACTAAGGAACAGAGGGGGAAAAGAATCTTGAGTAGTGAGAAGCAGGAAGAAGGAAGCATCACAAATAGAGACTGTGGGATACAGATGTGCAAACCAGCCCATCAGTCCAGTGCAGACACAGTTCAGGCAGCAGAAAAAAAAAATGAATGTTTCTGCTTTGGCTGCTTTTCTACTGCTTGGCGTAGCTGGGTGATTCTTGGGAGTTTTGCTAACCATGTTGCTATGGCTGTGGTTAATGGGAGGAAGTCAGAGGGAAATGGCAGGCTGCCACCTCTTTTCCTACAGCAATGACTCCTGGTGCATTTTACTGTGCCTGCATAGCAGTCTGATAGAATGCTTGCACCGTGTTTGCAGAGCACAAGGTATGGTTAACATTCTTATATTGGAATATTTAAAAAGACATTCAAAAGAAAGATACCTGCAGAAAGCATAGAAGACCAGGGAATTACCCAGGGTTCCTGTGATCCCCACTATAAGAATGACTATTCCAATCGTATAATGGGCATGGTCTGGGACATCCACTGTAGGAAAGGCATCAGGAACATCTTGCACTGTCATCTTCTATGGAGCAAACAAGAGGTCATAGGTATATTGCCAGACGTCAGAATAAGCTGGCATGTGCTTCTCTGGAAGAGGAAACGGTCCAGAATGCAAAAAGACAGCAAGCAAAAAAAGTCAGAATAAGCTAATGGCTTCCAAAGTACATTTACTGTTGATAATCCTCAGGGAATAAATATGCCATCATCAGTGCAAAGGGTGTTTTATATGTTTGCTGTCTATTTTGAATTTTGGTTCAGAAAAGCAACCTTTCCTCCCTCAAAAGAAAGATGAGGATACAGAGGAGAAAAAAAAGAGACAGGAAGAGACCCATTTCATTGCATCTGACATCACGGACTGCAGTATTTAACAAGTAAGCTTTCCATAGTTTTCATTTCAGGAAAGTTTCTGTACCTGTGAAGTGTGATTTCTGTTGTCCTATGACATCACTGGATAGACTCCAACTAAGCAGAAATGATCTATGGAGAAATAGGCGTTCACTCCTTTAGCAGTATGGCTATTCCATTTCTCCCACTGAATAACACTGAATTCAAATCTGCCCTCAAGAGCTGATTACCAAAGGCCTGGCAGTGATAAACAAGAGTCTTTTGGAAACTAAATTAAGGATCAGGAAAACTAAACCACAAACCCTGTATACCTTATGCCTGGTTTCCACACCAGTTCTGGGTTTGCTCTGCACTGAATAAAAGTATTTTGCTGTCTGTGAAGCAGGATGACTTGATAGAAACTGAAAAAGAATAGCTGTCCAAATTATTCCTGTTCTGCTGCCTTTTGACATAAGGTCAGGCGAGGAGACTTAAACACTTGAACACTCACCTCTGTGCAACTGCCAGTGTCCTAAACACCTCTTGGCATCAGCTCCAACCAGCTAATGGAGTCATGAAAAATACCAGGTCACATCCTCACTCATCTGCAACTTCTTCATAGCCAGGCTTTTCTCATCAAGGGTGGCCACTCGCTCTGGAGTGGTGTGCCATGACCACTGCTCGTGGCTTAAGCCTGCAAGCTGCAGCCATGGCGTTCCTCAGCTACTGAGCTTCCAGAGTCACACCAGCGTAGTGAAAAGACCAGGAAATACTTTGACTCTTTTGTAACCTCCCTCCTGTGAATACTGTCAGCTTGGCTGTGGCCTAGGACCCGGGACAAGGGAATTGCCTACACCAAGGTCTGTGCCTGTACCAAACTTCAGTCGTGCTGTGAGGCTGGATATGTTCTCTCCAATCCTAGGTACTGGCAGCAGCTGTCATGTGCAGTCAGTCCTTTCCAGGAGAAGGAAGGTTGCTGCCAGGAAAGGAGGAAAGTGCACAGAGGTTGATATGAAGCTTTGCCTTTTGTGCTACAGTTGTGTGGTAGTTGGCATTCACTGTTAGAGTGCAGCTCATCAGAAATGCCTTTGACAAAACCCCAGCTGCCAAAGGAAATGGGTATTTGTAGACAACAGAGGTGGATATTAGTTCTGAATACATCTGTGAGGTTGGGCTGAGGTTATCAGAGACAGTGTGTATTTAAAACCATTGTGCCAATAACAAGAGGTGAACCCCAGGAGTGTCTGGAATTCTGGAAGAGATTGTCTTTGCTTTGTGTGCTGAAGATCTGCCTGCAGCAATCCTCAACAACTGGAGTGCACTCCCTGGGTTCCTACATTAGCAGCAATGAAATGCTGGACAAATACTCTGATCTTAGAGAGAGAAAACATAGCTCTGGCTGTTACGGTGATTGGAGAAGAATGTTAAGGTTAACTGGATGACAGTATCATGGCATTTACTGCTCAGGTTCCTGCAGCAAAGTGCAAGCTGGTATCACATCATCAATATCAATGGGAACCTTGCCTAGGTGGAAATTGCTGGGCTCAATACACTGCCAGTAAACTAACAGAAATAATCCCATAGAGTCTGAGATGAAACTTTTTTAAGTAAATGAGATCAGGTGTTGCTTTGGTTTTGGGTTGGTTTAATTTCTCTTTAGCCTTGTGGCCAGAAAATTTTTAAACTGCTGTTCTACAGAGGGCTAACTATGATTATTAATGGAATGGAAATTCCTGATGTTTTTTCCCTGTAACAACCCATTTAGTCAGAACTGGATCAATGTAATAGAAATGAAGCAACTAAAGGAACTTGTTTTGGTTAGAAGAAACAGATTAAAATGGCATTAATTTGAATTAAATTTTTGGGGCACTAAGGACAAGAAAAAATTAAAAGACAGATATAAATACACAGAGAAATCACAAGAGAGGCAAAGTTACTTAAGGGAAAGTAGAAGACTGAAATGACATTCACAAGTGAAAAAAGTTCAGAGTCAATAAAAATGTAAAGTGTGGGAAAAATAAAGGAGTAATATTTATACTGGAGCAGTTAAAGGACATAAATTATACTAAATAGAAGGGCAAAAAAAAAGAGGTCTGTTGCAGAATAAATTAGCATTTTAGCATGGACTTCTTTAGGACTTGGATTTTTACCAGAGGGTACAACTCTGGCTGTTCTCTAAGAGGAAAAAATCAATTGTTAAAAAAATTAATTTCACTATTTTTATTGGAAATACAGGTCTGATTTAAGCCAAAGAAGGATACTAGTTAACCAAGAAGGCATTAGATCAGGCTTAAGGAGTACAAATTCATCAATAAATTGCATACATACAGCTTCCTTACTAGAAGACAAAAACATGTGTCTATCTCAAGTTCAGCTCTGTAACTTCTATTGGAATTGAATAGCAAAGAAAGGACGGGAGAAAAAGATTATGCTTGAGAAAATCAGGTCAGCAGGATAATCAAGAAATCAGTTAATTCCCAAAGCTTTTCTCTATTCAGTTTCTCCAGCGCATTAGCCTTGTTTGTTCTGTCTTCTGTTGTCATCCCACAGTACTTGGTTGGAAGGGGAGAATAAAAATCCTGCTGCTGCAATCTATATTGTTGCAATTGTCCTGTGAGAATACTCTGAGTACTGCAGTGATAATACACAGCAGTGTTGCCTTGTTTTTCTGCTCAGCCTTCTTCCTATAAACACCTCACAATGAAGGTGTTGGTACTGACACTGGTGCTGTTCAACATCTTTGTCAGTGACAGGGACAGTGGGATCAGTGCACCCTCAGCAGGTTTGCTGATGACACCAGGCTGGGCAGAGAATGGACTGGGTGCAGCCCTTGGGAGAAGGACTTGGGGGTGTTCAGAGAAACACAGAATGGTTTAGGTTGGAAGGGACCTTAAAGAATATCCAGTTCCAAACTCCCTGCCATGGGCAGGGACACCTTCCACTAGACCAGGTTGCTCAGAGCCCCATCCAGCCTGGCCTTGAACACTTCCAGGGATGGGGCAGCCCACTTTTCTGGGCAACCTGTTCCAGTGCCTCACACCCTCACAGTAAGGAATTTCTTCCTGATATCTAATTTAAACCTTCAGTTTGAAGCCATTTCCCCTTGTCCTATTACTGTGTCCTTGTAAAAATTCCCTCTTGTAGACCCCCTTTAGGTACTGAAAGACTGCTAAGGTCTCCTCAAAGCCTCCTCTTCTGCAGGCTCGACAAACCCAGCTCTCTCAGCCTTTCGCAGGTTTTATACTTTTGTTTGTGTATGAAAACAGGCCTATTGCTAGAGCTGTGTAAGAATTTGGGGTTTTAATCTCTGAAAGACATGTTATTTATTATTTATTTAGACTATCATTTTGCAGACTCAATAAATAATTTCGCTCTGGTTAACCAATTCAGATGAGCATTCCTGACAAAACATTATCCTGCCTTTAGCCATGATTGGGCTTCATAGAGATGCAAAACATGCAGAATGAACAGTGATGTGGGAATTTTATTTTAAGTAGTCTTAGTAATTGGTTTGTACCCTAAAACAGCCTTGGAAAGGATAATCTTAGTGTAGAATATTTTCATTCTCCATATATAGGCGCAATCCATTGCTAAATCCTGTTCTGTCATTTGCCTCAATAGCTGCATTGTCAAGAATTTATGAAGCTGCTCTCTGTTAGGGTGTTTCCTTCCAGCAGGTCTAGGAGTGTCCTTGTGGAAACACTAGAGTGGAGGGAAACAGTTAGGTTTAATGCAGTCTGCCTTCTTAAAATGCTCACTGTTCTCCCTAAAGGAATGTTTGTCTACTACTGACAACAAAACAGCTAAAACAGAACTGTGTTTTCAGTTGTCTTTCAGTAAACTTGACTGAGGCTTGTAAACTTGAGATGCTTTTCAGGAGTTTGGAGAAAAATGAATGTGTTATAGATAAATATGTCTAACTCCTTGCTGTTCTGGCCTTGTCTGTGGAGGCTGCAGCACAATATGGAGCCTCATTATTCTCTATTTATGGCCTGCTGCCACGGCTGCTTACTGTGGGAGGCAGAATTCTTCCTGGAGGGACAATCTGAGGAGCCAGCCTCCTTCTTTGGGAAGAGAGCAGAGCACAGGCCCTCCTGCTAAGGCTTAGTGCAAGCAGAGAAGGGGTAAAAATTAATCAGCCACAGGGCAGATTCGTTAGGGCACATAGGGCAGAACTTGTATTTCACCGTGAAGTTTGTCAAGACAATTCCAAAGCCAGGAACGGAAAGACTACGACAAGGACATTTTTTCAGCTACTTCTGCCTGAACATGGCAGATGGATTGTATGTAATTTGGTGTAAAACAAGACAAGGAAAGAGAAAAGGAAAAGGAAATAGGGACTGCTATGCTGTTGCTTTTTTGAATTCATCTGACTTGAAACTGCAGGCATTGGTTTTGCAGAATTAATGTTTTAATGGAATAGAGCCCAGTTCCAAAACACATGCAAGTTTTGGCAGTCTGACTTTGACTCTGGCAATGTAACAGGTTCCTTTGTTCTTGATTTTTCTACAAATACAGGTAAGGAAGCTGCTTATTTACACAGTATGACTTACACAACCAATGTGTTAGGCCTTTTACATTACAGCAAATTACATAGGTTAGAAAAATTATCAGGTCAGAAATACTATCATTTCCTGGGGTTTCTTGTGTGGTGTTTGTACTGCCTACCCACGAGAGGCCTCAAACAACTGAGAGCACTCATTTTTCTTTGCAGGTCCTTGCTCTGATTTCTGAGCTTGCCTCTGTAGCCACTTGCTCTGTGATGACAGGCAGCACAGACAGGAGTGTAATCCCACCTCAATTACGGTTTCAGCAGGGTGACGCTGACTGCTAAGCCCTCTTTCCAGTAGACAGCAGGGCTTTCCATGGATGACGTTTGTCTTGTTGAGCAATTTGGATAGTAGATTTTGCGTCCTATCTTCCAGATTTAATCTCAGCCACAAGCAGCACATCCTGCTTTCAGTCCTGAAACTCTCTTAAACCAGTTTTATGTGTCAAACTGAAACACAGAAGTTTGGAAATACAGGCACTTGACCTAGGGAGGGGAAACGGACAGCTAATTAAATCTTTCAGCAGAATAAGTAAAAGATCAATTTTTAATTTTCCAATGTAAATCACTCTGTCCCCAGAATCCTTTTCCATTTTGCCATGCCCTCTCCAGTCCCTTTTTTTCTCCCTGCTATGTTCTGGTGTCCTCTTTCATGTGTTGTCCATCTAATTTAGTGTGTAAGCACCTTGGCTCAGGACACTTCTCTGTTCATTTCTTCCGTAATACACTTCACACATCCAGGTTTTATTAAAATTAGATTTTAAAAACTTTGAAAATTAGGTTGGGTCACATTTTTATTCTCTACTTTTAAACAGACTTTTGTATAGACAGCAGGTGAATAAAATTTTGTAGTTCTAATAGCATACTGAGGGACAAAACCAGGCAGAGGACCTCTGAACTCCTTTGGGTCAGGCTTGTGGGGTCGGATGGAGAATATTTTTAGCAAACCCCAAAAATTCCATCCTGAAGTGTCATCACAACAGACTCCCACCTGCACACTTCCAAGGAAGTTTTCTTTCTCTTTAGTATTTAAAAACCGAGAAAGAGCTTTGAAAGAACTTACCTGGGAAAAATTTCTGAAAAACTTTCTTGGGCAACTTCACGTAACAACTCTTTTACTGTTTACCATAATATAAGCACTCTACTGCACTTACAGATTATTACAGAAATGATGGGGATTTCCATCCTGAATAACAACACAAGAGAGCACTGTGTTTGAACTGCTAAACAGCTGTTTAATGTACAAGAATGTTTCAACAGTTTAGAACGTATTCGATGCACTTCGCCATTAGCCATTCCTTTCTGCCTTCTACCCGTGTAACTCTGCTGAAAAACACTGCTTGTGCAGTCCTTTCTGCATTAAATAAATAATTAAAGGAGTAAAAAGAGGATTTAAGAGTTTTCATTATGTTGTGCATTATTGCATTACAGCACTAAATGTGTACATGCTCCTTAAATGTCCATTTACAATCCTATAAATGCCAGCCTTGCCAGAGATCTATATGCTACAGCTTTTAGTGACAGAAAACACTTACTGTTGGGGCTCTAAGAGGCAGATCCATGAGTGTGTAGGCATTGGCTTCCGAGTCATTCCATGCATTGAAGGCCTCCACAATTTTGGTGCTGTTGGCTTCCTCAGAGGGACAAGAGATCCCCCTCTGGATGGGCTGATTATTCAGGTGAACAAAATCTAAGCAAAAACCAAGAAAGAAGAGCTGTCCTCTGAATTTAAGTCAGCCAGTTTACCTTTCTGTGTGTGTGCAAAGCAGGCTGTTAGATTCTTTGGAATAGTGTGAGATCCAGTGCAGAGTTTCTCACTAGAGCTTCAGATTGCTTCAGTCCATCCTCAGCTGAGCAAAGGGCAGCAGCAGCGGCTTCCATTTAAATACAGGAGGGGGCAGAGCCTGCACATGCCCAGTTTGAAGCTGGTTCCATCCTGATTCCAGCTTTCCTTTAATGACAGTATAAGACTGATGCTCACTTAAAAGTGCTGTCATCTCTTTTTTGCCTTTGACAGATTTATGTCTGAATTGTAATGCTGTTTGCACATTATCTGTGTATGAAAACAAAAAAGTTAAAAGGCTGAGTTCACTGTCTCAAATATTAGACCTTACGGTTCACTTTCACTGTATTGGTGAATTAGTTTTTTGTGGTCTGGTTTTAAAGAAGATAAATGTGTACAGTTCTGCTGAAATTGTCAGAACTCAGATACATTCTGATATTCAACAATGTGCTTGTGTGCACTTCTGTCTTGGAGAATTTAGGTCATGGTTGTTTGTTGGTCCACTTCTAAAAATAAACAAAACATAGGGATAAAACCCACTGACATCATCCTTTTCTGCTCTTTAGTTTAAAACAAACAAACAAACAAACAACAACAAAAAAAGCAAACCACCAAAAAAACATCCCACACAAATACCTTAGCAGAAAACAGCAAATATCCACCTGTTTCAAGAGGTGCCTGCTTTCTTTTTCAGTTGTGTTATGTAGGGCACACACGAGTAGGTTTTTATTCACACAAATCTTGCTTTACATTGCATTGTGCAAAGAGACACGAATTGCTGTATTCCCAGTCGAAGGCCTATTACTGTGGTAAAGTGAAGTTTAATTGCAATAGAGAATTAGGCACAGTGTGTGAGAAAGCTCTTCTAGCAGATACTGCTGCCTAAATATCAGAGAGTTTAGGCCTTCCACCCGCCATCAAAATGCCATTAGCTTCACTGCATCTATAAAAATAGATGGTGTGTACTGTTACTGGAAAGCCTTTGTGAGAAGGCTGTGACAGTAATGGTGGGAACTGTATTGCCCCAGCTCTGCTGCAGAGTCCCTTTCCTTGACAGTCATTTAAGGCAGGCAGTGGTAGCCTTGTGTCACCAAGCCACTGAACATTAACCAGAGGAGACACTTCTTAGATGCTACAGCTTCTCAAACTGTGAGATCTTAAAAATTATTGTTAGCAGACCTGTTATGAAAGGCAAAGATATTCCATGGAGTATCTCTGTCCTGTAGTGCTGGTAGACACAACCAAGCCAGATTTAAACCAGCTGTGGCAGAACTGCACCCCGAGGTGGCTGATGGACTGACAAGTTCCAGCTCTGTCAATGTCTGAGATTCTACAGTAATTTTCTAGAGCGTGCTCTTCCCCCCTTCTCTATGTGTGACATCAGACACATGAATATCAGGGCTATGGTGGAGGTGACATTAATGGTACAAATTTCAAAAGACGTTGTTGTGAACTCCAAATCCATCACTCTGCTCCTGCACACACAGTGCTTGCAGGCAGCACACTGTAAGGATGAGGCAGCAAACAACCGTGCTGGACATTTTGAGGGACAGGACCTCTTTGGAAGACAATTTTCCAGTTTACTCCTAAAGAGGCAGGAGGTGTCATTGCAGAAAGCCACAGTGTGAGACTGGCAAAGGCTCGTAGTGTCTTCAACTAAAGCTTATCAAGGGGAATGGAGCAGAAAGGACACTGAAATGATTGACGTGCGGAGAAAGGAGACAATGGGAGATCTCCCATTTGTGTGTACTTTATGTTCAAAGGAGTTGCATACAGTTACATCCTGATCTTGTCAAACCCATAAGACATAAAGTTTGAGGCACACAATCTTCAAGACAAGCATAAACACTGGATCAGATGTGATCTTTGACTCAACATTCTCATTTTCTTTGCTGAGATCCTCTTAGTTTTCTGCTTTATGTCTTAGTTTTGGACAACGTCAACACAGTCTGTTTACCTGCAGCTTGCACATGAAGTTTTCCTTTTCCCTCAGTTGCAGATAACATTTTTCTTACTTCTTGTTTCCTCTCATCTTAGCAAGAAGTCACTGCACTGAAAATATTTCATTTCCAGTTAGCCTGGACGCATCCAATTTTTTGGCATTTTTAGGGGACCCCATAATATGTTTCACAGAGTAATCAAATCATGGAATAAACGTGGTCTTTTAAAAAGTAATTGAGACATTTCAGAAGCTATGTGTCTTCCTGCTTCATCAGATTTGGCGTTGTTGTACAAGCCTTTCCAGATAGATTAATCTGATTAGTTCAGCAGCTCCTGAGATGTATTATGAAACAATATGCAGAAAAGGAGAGAAAGAAAGTATTCCCAGTGAGAAGCACATGCTAGTCCAAAGAGGGCTACTGCTCTGGTATCCTTCCTTCGCCTCAGGACTCTGCTTTTATGAATGCTAAGCAACTCCAAGCTAGGGGAAAGTATTTTGAAAATTGGACCCTAACACTAAGATTCATGTCCAGTGGAAATGTTATCATATGGTGGTAGTTGTCTGATTCATTATTGAAGCCAACTGCTAGAGGCAATTCAGCTGCCCAGTTTTAAATGTGATGCTTCAGCTTCCATGGAAGGAGAAGAGTCATCCTAGAGCTGCACAAGGTGTGAAGTACAAGACATCTCATTCTCTGTCTCTAGGGCTCAAGAAGTCAGACAAAGACATATAGCAAATCAGTCATAAAACTTCTTCCTCTCAGGTTTGCTTTGTTTTATATGTAGCATTAAACCAGAGAGAGCAGTTCCAAGTATTTTATTGAGATGACTGTTTTTCTTTATAGGTAAGGCTACTTCACTTAAGGTTATCAGAATGTTACGCTTGAGGATCTGGAGGAAAATTTGGCCTTTCTCTCTCCCTTGTTTATTCTCTACCAAAAGCGTATCTCTGTTGTATTCCTGGGAAGCCCTATGGAGAAAACATATCAGTTTGTGACCCCAGGTGCTTTCCAAAGTCATCTGCTCATCCTAAAGCTTTCAAATATTTCTGACCTAGAGCCCCTGGTGGTCTAGTGGTAAAGGCGCCGCGCTATCACCGCCGAGACCCGGGTTCGATTCCCGGTCAGGGCCACTCCCGGGCAGGTGGGGCTCGTTAGCCCTTAAAGGCAACCCACCTACGTCCTAAGGACCTCGCTGCCACCGTCCAAGCTCGCTTGGCCCCGGCAGATGAACCTTAGGATTAAAGGGTGGGCTCAGTTCCGCGCACACTGTGTCTCACCTAAAAAAAAATCCAATGCGCAGGCTGGAAGGTGGAAAGACCTTCCCCGGATCTTCGCTCGCGAAGACTGGCCATTATTATTTCTGACCTAGTTTTATGTGTGAAACATAGTGGAAGTTCACCTGGTTTATGGCAAGGTCTGAATTGCCTTCCAGTCACTTCTGGAGAAAAGAATTAATGCCCAGAATTAATATCTCAGAATTCTGTCACACTGAACTATGGTGAGAACAGCCTTCCCAGTTTTAGAGTCCTGACTTGAGCTGGACACCAGGTACCCACCAAACTACTCTATCCCTCCCCTCCATAGCAAGATTGGTTGGGGAGGGGTAGGAAGGAAAAAATAAGATGGAAAAATTTGTGGCTCAAGATAAAGGTAGTTTAATAAAACAAAAGCAAAGGCTATGTGCAGAAGCACAGGAAAATATTTACTCTCTACTTCCCATCAGCAGGTGATGACCAGCCACTTCCCAGGAAGCAGGGCTTCCATAGGCACAGCAGCAATTCCAGAAGACAAACATTGTAATAACAAATGCCCTCCACCTCCTCTTTTGTCTTGGCTTTTATTGCTGAGCAGACGTAGTATGGTATGGAATATACCTTTGGGCAGTTGGATCAGCTGTCCTGGTTATGTCTCCTCCCAAGGTCTTGCTCACCCCCAGCCTACTGGTTAAGAGGGGAGTGCTGGAGGGACAGCCTTGATGCTGCACCAGCACTGCTCAGCTGCAGCCAAAACACCGGTGTGTGAGTAACACCTTTATAGGTACCAGTGCAGCACAGCCCTGGGAGGGCTGCAGCGTGGAAAATTACCTCCATCTCAGCCAGACCCAATGCAACCTCTACTTCTGTTCATAGGTGTTTTATAAATTACAGGCAAAACCAGCAGTAAACCTGGGACCCTTCCAGAAAACTGAGAAAATTATCTAACAGGACTTGTTCCACAATGAGTGAAAAAGAACTCATTGTCCCCTTCTTTGGCAGGGAGCTCTGTGTGAAATTAGATTTTAGCTCACCTGCAGGAACACAGAGTGGACTGAAAGAACAGGTAATCTGCTGCTTAGAAGATAAACAGACTGCTGTTGGGAAATGCCAGGAGAGTTAAAAGACAGAGGGTATGGTCAGCTAGGTATTAACAACCTTGAGACATCTTTACAAAGGCTCACCTGGGTTTCCTTAAATTTTTTGAAAGATCACACAGGTTTCCAAGGCCAGCATGAGGAAAGAGGAATAGACTACTAAGAAATGGGAAAAGTAAAGTCTCACTCTTCTTTGAGTGCAAATACAGGTCCTGGGATTTGAGTTACCACAAGTGAGGAATGCACAAAGCAAAGTTGTTGGATATTTCAAGTAAGTTGAGTGATTTTATTTTTCCCCACTGTGAGGTAGAGAATGATGGTGATAATTCCTGAAAACATCTTGGGGAAGACAACGCTATGCTCAAAATATGCTCTGCTTGCCCTCTAGACATGCTAGGTCTTCCTGTAAGTGATGGGGTAGAGGGAGGAACTATTGATTTTTCACTTGAGAGCCCGACTATTTGCAGTGTCTGCCTTTCAGAAGGCAGTATCACACCACACAATCCGAGTTCCTGGCAGCCTCCCTTCCACAGTCCCTGCTGTACAGTGGGAGCCCTGGCTGTCTGGTGTGGTATTGCTGGTCAGTGGCTGCAACACCTGAGAACACATTTCTCTCAGAAGCATTTTTAGGGATGTACTTTTGTACTGGCACCTGCA